TGCGCTTATTTTAATTGATTGCTTTGAGATTCAAGAATAGATTAGTAAACTTAATTTTCGAATTAGATAATCTGTGAATTGCGAAAAACTTTCAAAGATCAATTCACCCCCCCCTCTTGATATAAAACTACTTTTCTAACATATTTTTCCTTTATTTTCAAGAGAGAGTGTTATTGTTCCCTCCTTGGAGGTAGATAGAGAAGAGTTGTAATTTCTTTCATTAGTGGAATTACTCTTTTGCCTATTGTCGATGTTTTTCTTATCTTTTTATTTTAATTATGTATGTTTATGCTTTTGTCTGATACCTAACATGTATATTATTCTCATATCCAAGATATCTTAATTTAAAATCTGTAAGATATGTTTGTCTATTTGTTTCTCTGTTTAGATGCTCCCATAAGTCGATTAATGACTACCTTTTACTGCTTGTGGCCTTATGTTTCATTTACAAATATAGGATTTCTTGATTTGTTACTCCATAATCTCAATTTCTATATATCATGTTATTATATATATATATATATATATATATATATATATATATATATATATATATATATATATATAAATACATGAATTTTTCACACATTCTTTTAATATTTTCATGTATTATTCAAGTTGATAAATCTATCCTAATAATATAGGATCACATAATTTTATCTATCATTAGATGAACTATTAAATGTTTAATAATGAAAAAAAAATCTCTAATTGACACAATATAATAATTGTTTCACTTTCTAATTCATTTAATCTAATAACATCAATTATTTTAATACAAATAGCATTGAAAATATGTTACATAACCTGTCATTTTTTATTTATTGTTCAAAACTGTGTAATATGTATTACATTTATACAATTTCCACTATCTAATTTGATTTCATACAAGAGTTCAAAGAATATAGATTTCTTCTTTCATATGTTCTTTTGAAGATCATAATTAGATCTCTTATCTAATCATACACTTTCTCACTCATTAAGGGTATTGGTTGTGTTTCATCCTTTTAATAACCATTAGAAGCCTTTTATGGTCTACGATATAGATGATTGTGTTTTAAAAATTTGCAATGATCAATGCGAGAAGTCTTTTTCCATATTTTAGGTAATGGTGACTAATTCCTTCTTCACATGTAGGACAAGTATGATCTTTATTAACAGTGTAACCACTCAAATTAATATTAGTACAAAACAATAATGTATGTAAGTAAAAATTCTACTTGTGATATGTAATAAATACACTAATTCATTCCTCCTACAACAACCTAACGGAGTAAGGTAATATCTATGACATTTTTTAGTTGTTTTAATCCTAATATCATCATGAATAACATTATATATTTTTGCTTGATACATAACTAGTAAGACAAGTTATAAATGACAAGAAAAATAAGTCATGAACTATATTTGAGGTTTGAGTTACTATAAGAATTCATTTCATGTGATAAGAATATGTATGAGATTTCTTGGGTCATCTCCAAGCTTATGAAACAAATAATCAATTTTCTTATGGTGAATTAATTACAGTATAACAATCCATTTGGTTTTTTACCATTTACATGTTTCATAAGTTAATGAATAATTAATGTTAACAAATAAATTTTTAAATCTTAGAATAATCAGAAGCCACTACAGTATTATTACAGAGGACCCTTTTGTCTCTTGATATTATGACAATCATCATCCTTCACTTTATAGCATGAAACTCATACCTTGAATAATTATGTAATATTTCAAATTATCTTCTCTATAATGTATAATCATTAGGATAAATATGTATTTTTTATACTCTAAATCCATCATACACAAGATATTATTTGTTTTATAGTAATGGTGAATAGTATATTACCTTTTGGTAATATTTTGTTCAATAATTCAAGTAATTTAATAAAATTTTTATCCGTTCATCCCTTTCTTATCGTAATATTCAATCTTAATAAATTATTGTATTTAAACTCACATAGAATTTTATAAAAAAATTCGTCTAGAAATTTTGTTGTGTTTGTTACTTTCTCTATATAATTATGATTAAGATTAGTTTTAGATCAAGTTTGCTACCCAATGAATCAATTTTCGGACTTAGATTTACCAAATTAATTTTTACAGAAATAAAACCAGGCAAATCCAAAAATTTTACATAAAACTTATTTTGATCATAAGTTCTTATAGAAAAATTTCTTTTGGGTATGTTTTAGATCAAACCTTATGTTTTCATATCCTATGAATTATTTTTTGGAGTAGAATTTGAAGAAAAGCATATAGGTGTAGTTGAAATAATACAATTTTGAGATTACAAAGAAAATAAAACAAATTAAAGTTTAGGACTTGTAATCGACTTTTCATACCTTAAAATATCTTATGAGAATTCTTAATCCTTAAATTGAAAAGAAAAGTGAAAAAAGAAGAAGAAATAATAACATAGAACTTGTGTTATCATGAATGAAAGTGAGAAGTAAAACTCCTAGGAAGCTTACCATAAATTTTTGGATAAGCCTAGTAAAATATCAACTTAAGTGCCTCTTATATTAGGAGAAATGTATGAAGCAGATAAAATATTCATTTGTATTTATGTTTTTATAATGATGAAGAGATTTCTTGATTTATTTCTTTCTTTCAAACTTTCATTTGGTTCGTTGCAAGTGTTTGTAATTGTTTGAATATACTTACAAATTATCTACTTTGCTTAAATGAAGGTAGATGTAAGTGATAAGGTAAAGTTTTTTATTTTATTTTTTATTCATGATTACTTTACCAATTGAATTATATGCACCAAACAAAAGAAGGATGAACAAGGAATCACATGATCATGGAATTTCGTAAATCTTTGTCATGAACTAATAAAAAAAAGACAATCACACATAATCATATGTTTCTTTTGTCTTAGGTCCAACTTAATGGGATTTTGCTTAATGATACCAAGGCTTGTTAACTTAAGACAATGTGAGAAAAGGGAAAATTAATTGGGATTCATTTTACTTATTAAATGTTTATTATTCTATTGAATATTTAATAAAATCGATATAATAAATATGCAATATGTCCATTAAAAATTCTAAAAATAATAAATTTAGTTTTATTTACAAGTGTGGCGTCACTTTTTATGGTGGACAATAATCATTATAATAACTCTTCATAATTTTTTACTATGAATGAATGCATAGATTCCCTTGTCTCTTTTACTTGTGTGTTTGTTAGGTTTTCTTTGCACTTTTTCAGAGGAAAATAAACATGTGATCCACCTTCTTTTTTTTTTTTTTTTTACTTTTATCAAAATTTCACTCTATCACGTAACTCTTCTTTCAATATTTTTCACTCTCTTCTTTTCTATCCCCCTATGTTACAATGTGTTTGATATGTGATTGGTGGTTTGTTTTCTGGAAGATATAACTTAAAAGTGGACTCGTACGGCATTAAAAAAAAAAAAAGAGTCAAAAAGAGTTATTCTTTTGATGGATAAAATTTCACGATACCTTTCGTGCTTTTGAAGCAAAACTATTTTAATCAATTTTTAGACTTGTAATAATTGTTTAAATATATTTAAATTTCACAATGGTCCACAAATTAATAAATTATTATTACTTAATTGATTAAACGTTGTTTGTCAGGAACAATAATAAATTATTTTTATAAATATTATATTTTCTATCAAATAAATATAATCGTATAATTTTAAAATATGTTACGACTATATTTTAATAACTTTTCTTTTCTAATTATTTTTCTCTGAACACAGCTTTAATACTCCAACAAACCCATCTCAAACCTTTGTTTGATTTGAAAATAAGATTTGAAGAAGTGAAAACAATGAATAAAAATATAGTAAAAAGATGAAGTTGTTTAAATTAAGAGAAAAAATAAAATAAAAAAGAAAAAACAAGTGAAATTTTTATAATTGATTTGGAAGAATAAAATAATATAATAATTTAGTAATTTAATAAATTACAAAAACATTATTGGTTAAAATTATATTGGAATAAATATGAATTAAAAACAAAAGATGAATAAATATGAATTAAAGTTTTAAATATTTTTTAAAATTTAATTTAAATTTATTTAAATAATTAATTATAGATTATAAATAAAAAATCTGTTTCACATAAAAATTGAAAATGAAGTAGAATAAGAAAAAATTGGTAAATATAAAATGATAACTATACATTAAAATCATATTAAAAAAAATTTAAAACAATTTATTAATTTGCATTGTAATATTTATATATTTTAATAAATTATAAGCTTTTTAAAAAATATTTAACTTTTATACAAAGAAAGAAAAATATTAAACCGTTTTTGTATTGTAAGGATATATTTAACATATAGCTTCCATATAATTATTTATACTTTTTCTTCAAATTTACTTTTTAATATATTACTGATATACTACATATATCAATTGATATCAGATGGAATGATAAATAGATATACAATTTTTTATATATATTTTTCTTGACTAGACTAATAATAAAAAGACTTTTAATCATGGAACACTCGAGTTAATCATATAAAAAATGTTACTATTTTTACTTATAAACTAATCAATTCTTTTGTTTTTATATAATATAAGACTTCTTACTCATAAATCCAAATGACTAATAATAATTAAAACAAATATTATGATTTAAATTAAAAAAAATATTTATAACAATAAATAATACTAAAATAATTATGATGTCATATTTAATTTTAACTTTGAAACTAATTTTGTCTACCTAAAACTAATATTAATATAAAATGGTGCATAATATATAATTCATAGCTAAACATGTACACTGCATTTAAGTCCCACACATGACTCAATAGTATAAACATTTTGAAGCAAAGGGGAAAAAGGAGCGCAGTAGTGTCTGCAGACGAATGAAATGCATTGAGATCCGTTACTCCAATGGTGGACGCAAACCCTTTAAAAATAAACAGTGTCACGCACCATGCGAATGAAAGGCATGCAAATCGATCAGAAATTCAGAATTTAGAATGTTCAAAGCTACAAATTCCCATGCAGCATGGAAGCGCGTGCAGAAGATCAAATCACTGGGACCAAGGTGCTGCTGCTGCCTAGCCTATGCTTGGCTCATCAGCATCCTGACAAAGCAATGGCTTGTCCTCTTTTGCGTGTTCGAAACACACGCGCTCACTCGCGTGAACACTGCGAAATGGTCAGAGTCGAACATAGACATTCTATTCCATGGCATTGCAGTTTGTGTCCCTGTCTTTGTGGCACCAACACTGTTAACTTCAAGATTGCTAAAATCTCTGTGCTTTGACCATGCTGCCAAGGACATACATTCATTCTTTGACAACTTTAGAAAATCAACCACTCTTTCTTTTGTTCTTCCAAAACACATGTGTCTTCTCAATTTTGATGGAAACAGGATGGCAATTCTTTTAATTATTAATGTATTGTGTCTTTTAAATTTGAAAAAAAAATTAACAAATCAAAGAATAAATTCATAATGACTAAGGGTGAATACTTATTATTGATTTTCGAGAATTAAATAATATATTATTAATAAATAAATATAAAAAAAAAAAGGTAAAAAGATAAAATTATAAATATATACTTAAATATATTAAATGATTATTAAATTTGTGGAGATAAAATCATAAATTATATGAAAATTATAAGATTAAGAAAAAATAAAAAGATTAAAATTATAAATATATAAATAAATATATTAAATATTAATTAAGATTCAGCAGATAAAAATCATATAAGTTATAAAACTTATGGGAGCTAAACCGAGAATATCCGTTAGCGGACGATGGTGATGATAATGAACAATATCTTGATCTCTAGGGTTTCGTCTATGGATTAGAGTGATCATTTCGTTGTCTTTTTGAAGCTAGGCAAAAGTACTTCATATTCCCTTGCAGTCTTACATAATGATAACTACATTGACGTATTGTTACTAAATCATTTTCTCTTTTCTATCTAAGGTTAGTTTGATCTAGAAGATGGAAAGAGGACAAAATTAATGTATAGAATAATGAAGAATTGTTGGTGATTTGTTTGAGTGGATGCGAGAAGGAAAAAAAAAATAAAAATAAAAATGAAAGAGATAGAACTGTTCACACACAAATATAAATAAGTATGCAGAAAGGAAACATAATTTTGATTATTTTATTCAAAAATTGAGTTTAAATGATTACTTATTAATTATGTGATATCTATATCCAATCATAGATCACCTATAATTATATTTTTTTAATAATATAATAATATTAAAAAGATTATCATAAATAAATAAAAAATTGTTTCAACTAAATAACCTCTCTTTAATTAATTCTTTATTTCTTTCTCTTCTTTATTTTATTTTTTTATCAAACAATACCTATCATGTTAAAATTGGAGGTAAGTCAAGAGATTGTAAATTGAATTTTGATAACTTTTTTAAAATGAATGAAGAATTTCCTTAAAATCAAAATAAAATATTTTCTCTGGATTTGGAGCTTATATAAGAATATGTTATTTGGTTCTTTTAAAACATATAAAAACTTGGAAAATTCAAAGAAGATATGTAAAAGATAGAGAAGGAATGACGAACATATAAGAATTATATGAAGCATTAGTTGACACATATGCTAGATTTTATTATCACATGAGCTACCTAATCTTGTTAATTGACGAGATATTTAGAGTTAATTGCTATTATAATTAGAAGAGTTAGTAAAAATCAGTTGCATTGATCTTATCATATGATCTTACCATTAAACAATCCAATATAATAATATTATAATAATATCTATTATTACATTATTTATATTCAATTGTCTAATAAATATTTTTATAAACTAAATTCTCAAAACATAATCACCCTCACACAAATATCCTTCCTGGTACAAGAGGTTAGAGGTTATGGACCTTTCTTGAAATATAGTATGAAAACCAAAAGGGTGAAAAACATCTACCACACATTGAAAGCATAATAAAGGGTGTCAAACAACACCATGATCTAATGAAAAAAATAATAATTTTTTTAATTATATAAACCTTCAATATATTCTTCATAGATACTTGGAAGTTTCTAAATCCAAGGCAGATACGTTGTAGATTATTATAATACAGTAAGAAAAAATAGTATATAACCTGAAGCTGAGAACTTCATCTTCGTTGCAACATATATTTATTGGTGCATGAAAAATATAACAACAGAAGTTTCTCGAAATACGAAACTTGCGCAGTGAAACTATCTCGAACATGTTTGGCTGCGCATGATGTAACATCACAATGATTTTTTTGACCGAAACAACGTACGGGTCTTAGATGTATAGGAATTGGCGTCGAATATTTACCTTATTCAATTCATTGATACAACAAAAATGTTGCAGTCTTCGTCACATCCGTAACAGTATGACAATCACGGTCTTTTCAAGTGATTGTTAGACTCTGTCTTTTCCTGCCCTAGTTGTACAGTTTTGTCACTCGTTAAAAAATCTAAATGGTCGCCTGAAGCTAATTACTGTTGACTCTAACAAACAAAATGTATTCTCTCACACAAAACAAAAGGTCTTGGTTGTTAAAAGAAGGATATATGAATGGATTTCTTTAATTTGAAATTAATACTATCTGTAACAAAAATTCTCATTTAATTCAATGGCGTTTGGGTTTCTTAGTAGTGTATCATTTTCTAATTGTTGTCTGAAACGTTTAATGCAAAGGGGACATGCAATTTAAATAACGGAAAATTTCACATTATATGTTTTTTTCCATCTATTAGTATTTAATAATTCTCCATTCTCGCTTTTAATATTGAAAAAACATAATACAATGGTTCATTTCATATAGTAGAGGAAAAGTAATGGAATATCTTTCTTTCTTTGTGTTTTTGTTTCTTTTTCTTTAACCTTCATTGTTCATGATCTTCATGGCGTTCTTGTTCGTTCCTTGTTTCCGACGGTGAAGTATCTTCTTATTAGTCACACTTAAGATAAACTTCTCATTTTTGCCTCTTCTTCTTCCTCAAGTTTGTGTTGTTTTAATTCATTTTTTGTTGTTATTATTTCACACCTTCTTTTCTTCCTCTTATTTGCAACATTAACACACATTTGTATCACTAGTGAGTATTTTTATTTATATCTGAATTTGATGATTAGATAATGGAAATTGGAGGATAATTTGTATTGGTGGGATTCAGTGTAATCAAGGTGCACAGGATAACAATGAGATTTGGGTTTATGTGGGATAATGAATGTGAAGATTAAGTTTTGGATAGTGTTAGGAAGGTGTTAGAATTTTTATAATAGTTTTTTGACATGAAAATTTATTAACTATATTAATATGTGTTAGATAATTATATTAATAAAACTGGTTACGTTAATTATTAACTAATTGACATAGAAGATTCACACTTTAAATATATGTTGATTGTAAAAACAATATAATAAGTTTAAAATAATTAACATATTCGTTAATATTTAAGACCCAGCTTTTATATACGTTTTATTGAACAACCAAGATATTTTATTTTATTTTTGATGAAATGACGTGGGTAGTTTTGCAAAAATTAATAGTTATAAACTAATTTAAATGACTGCTAATTAGTTGAGAAAGAAAATTGTTACAAGAGTCAAATATTGAAGTGCTATGTTTTTCTCTTGCAATGATTTTTTAACATTCATTTACATTTTATATGCTCTTTCAAGAATTAGGATTTGAATCCAACCTACTTTAATTAAGTGTTTGATAAGTGACTCACATGCTTTTTCACTGGCGCCAACTCAAATTTGAAAAGGGAGTGTGTTAAGAGGTGATTAGAGTTTATACCGATTGATTTTAATCTAATATATCATGGAGTGACTAACACATGTATAAATTATATTTGAAAAATTAAGGTAAATGATGTAAGATTTTCTTTAACATTCTCTTAATCAAGGACAATCAAGATAGACGACGTAATCTCCATTAAGAAAATATCTGTTTAACTATAAATATTTTGATAGGTATAAGATTTTAACCTAAAACTAATTAAGATTGGACGAAATCACCCACATATATATAAATCGATCCTTGTCATAATTAAAAGAATTAAGATACACACCATTATATTTTTTTAAGTGAAATGGAGAAAGAGCATAACTATTAACATCAAGTAAAACATCCTAAAGTTGAGAATAACTTAATAAAAGGAAAAGTAAAAAACCCAAAACAAAGGGTAGTTTAATACCTTTACCAATTTCCGAAGCGGAAATTCCTGTTAATTGTTAATCTACTAACAATAAACTGGAGTGCAAACTTTTCACGGCAAGATTCATGAATCATCTCACGCACGAGAGTATAACTCCAAATAATTTCAATCAATATTCCAACAATCTTTACCACAGAAAAGTGTTTTCATTTGAAGCGTGTAGTATTTGTATCTCCACTGAGCAGGGTTTACATTGATAATATTCATATTTTTTTGAACTTAATCTTACTATATTCAACATTCACAACCCACTTGCATCACCCTATGTTTGAATAGTTAAGATGAACTTGATACCACAATTCTACTTCAAGAAAGAAAACACATTCAACGTTCTCATACAATGCAACATAAAACTTTAAATGGGAAACAAAGAAGATAGTAGGAGAACATATAACGATTCAAAGAAAAGTAGCTAACATCCCTAGTGTTTTTAATCTTAAGAGAAAACAATACTGTGGCTATCCTCTTTGATTAAAATTTGTCTAAGGGGTATGATGAGGGAAATTGAAGACATGCACATTGACCAAAACTAGAAGCTACATCTATAGATGGTTGCCAGTAGTGGAGGAAGAGCCAAAGGGGGAAATATCTGTCCAAGATGCAGAAGTAGCACTGGTCCAATATTGTTCACTCACTGGATTATTGTTTCCCAAGAACTGGTTTGACAAGTTAAGTTCCCTACTATCTTCCATTTTCACTGAAGCTAACTGAGTCATGACCCCAGCAGTTGAAACCTTTGGCCTTATATATCCACTCACCTCAGCACTGCCTTCAAAAGGGTATAAATTAGAAGCTGGTGATGGACCTTCCAAGGCAGCCAAGAGTGGAAACTGTTGTGGCATTCTCCATTGGTCCAAACCAGGTGCAGACAAGACTGAAGTGGCACCACCAAAAGCACTAGCTCCAATTTGAAAACTCAAGTCCCCTACTCCTCCCATTGGGCCATAACTGAGGCCATAGTTTAGGCCAATATCTCCAGGTCCGAAGTCAGTGAGTTGATGCAACGGAGGCATGAATCTGAGGGGTGGAATTTGGGGTGCAAGCCCTATTCTCTCACTCTTAGAAGATACCGAGTTGGAGGAGCTGGCACTCCCTGTCTGGCGGTCAGAACTCGCCGGAGAGTTGGAGCCGCCGCCACCGCCTCCGCTTCCTTTGCTCCGTTTGTTCCTCCTGCAGCCTCCGCCGACGGGGACGCTCCTTAGGGCGCCGCCTCTAGTCCAATACCTTCTGCAGGTCTTGCAGAAGTGGCGAGGCTGAGAGAGACTGTAGTTGTTGAAGTAGCAAAATTTGGTGTTGGTGGATTCGCAGCGTGGACACTTGAGTGCGACCTCTGGCATTGACATGTTAGCCATCCTTGCTCTATCAACCATGGATCCTGGCCTGATTGAACTCTCTTCGTGAGACCGCATTGCAGTCGGAGGGGGTGGGGGTGGCGGTGGCGGTGGCGGAAGTGGAAGCAGCTGCTGAGAGCTGGAACCGCTGCCTTCGGGCTGGTTATTTGGTTGCTACAAAGTCAAAAGGCAGAAGGAAAATTAGAAGAGGTTAAAAATAAAAGAAATATTTATAACATGTACTTTTTTAAATACTTTTATTATTTGCTAAAATTTAATTTTTTTATAATATTTTAAAAGAGAATATATTAAATTAATTTCTCGATATGTTAAAACTAGTTTAGGTGTACAAGAAAAACATTTGTTTTTACAAAACATATACATAATTTATTTTAACTTAAAATTATTATTTTTTAAATGTTCTCCCTTTAGAATATTTAGGAAAAATGTTTTTCAATCATGCCCTTAATTCCAAAGAAAGTAACTCATTAAAATGTGTAAGTCGTATATAATAAATTTTGAATGATGATGACAAAGAAAAAATTAGTGGTGATAGAAATTATACCTAGCATTTGTCAAAATGATAATGATGAAGAAGAAAAGCAAGGAAATGAAATGTGGGGTATATTCAAGAAGATACATAAGCAAAAGTGAAAACAATATTTTGTGTTATGTTTTAAAATCTTTTGCCTTTTGACAAAGAAGCCATCGGAAGTGCCAAATTGAAGAAACCCGTGTCTGTTGTTTACCTGTTGCTGCCAGTTGGCTGCATCAAAATAAGAAGCTGGTATGGAAGTAAAAACCATGATTTGATTGGCTCTGGGAGCTTAATTTCTCTGTTGTAAAGATTGGTGAGAGAGTTGTCTTTGGAAGAAAACAGCGGAGAGAATCACATGAACTAGCTAGAGAGAGAGATAGAGTGTATTGAGTAAGAAAGAAAGAAAGAAAGAAAGAAGAAGATTGTGTAATGAGGTGCAAAATAAAGGAAGGGCCTTTTAAGTATTTATATATAATTCTGTTGTTCATTCTCTCTCGTAACCCTTATAACACCTTTTATTTTTAACTTTCTAGGGTTTTGAGAAGGTGGTGATTCTTAACCATTTAGCTTCTCTTTTTATGCTTTGCAAGGCTGCGAGTACTGTGCTAAGACAGAGAGATCAGTGCTATTGCTGCTGATCGACCAGCCTATATATGTCAGGAATTAATTTGGTGTAGAATATGGTGATCACAAACTTTGATTATGATGCGGTTATGTTATGAAACTAATCCTTAAATGAATCATATTATATAGATTAAGGTGAAGAATGTGATGATGAATGTGTTAATGTTTTTTATACCAGAGAAAAAGGTGGCTGTTGGTGCTTTAATGTTGGACAAATGGCCGAAACCTTTTCTTGGCCCGGTCTGTTCCCTTCCACACTATTTTTTATTTCTGTAGAGGGAAATTTATCCTCGCGACTCTCACGCGTCACCATGGCTAGTAATCACTCTAATCATAGAATAGGAAGATTCAGCAACATAATTTTTGACTCAACAACTGTAAATCGAACTTTTATGGCATCGATAGCAACAAATTAATTCTATTCTTGATTATGTTATATTTTCGCTGCAATTTCACTCTTTTTCATGACCCTAAAGGAATGTTTGAGACTAACCCAATGAATCTTACGTAAAAAGATCAAACCAAACTCGAAGAGAAAGATCTATATATAGGATTTGCACCCTCTTCTTACCCAGATGACCGAATACTATGCAATCTAGATTGTATTTTCAAGGAACATTTATAATAGACATAGTTTTCAATCATAAAAGAGTTATTAGGAAATGAGGGTTTTATGATTTTTGTGTTCTAAAACCTAATTGAAAATAATTAACTATGTAAATCTAATTCAAAATAGTATTGAAAAAATAGTAGAGAATAGTCCATGTCAAAATAATGATTAGCTTTCAATTATATTATTTTATTCTATTAAATATCATTTATTTCTAAATCTAAAATGCAAATGATTTTTAAATTTATGAGAATATAATCATTAATAGTTTTATTAATTAGATCTAATTGATTCATTATGTTCAATTAATTTAGTGACACAAATAAACTTTTAAGATAAATTTGATTTATGATGTAATTGATAAAATTTAATCAAAGAATCTTGGTTAAAGTTCAGATAAGAAAACTAACCTAGAAAAGTAGAAATCCATTAAAATACAATGACGAAACAAAAAGTAAATTGTAAGAATTAAAAATAAAGTAGTAAAAAAAATAATTCATCTGCCTATTGAATTGAAGAACTAAACGTAGAACTCGTGTAAAAGTCGAATATAAAGGAACTTAACAAATATAAAGTAAAGAAAAATTAGAGACTATACAGGAACATTGGAAAACTAAAAATTATATAAACATAAATTATGTCTTTTAACTTTCTTAAGTATATTTATATAACAATAATGAAATGCACAAAACCTATATAAGGTCCAAAAACAAGAAATTTCAGAAGTTAGAGTTTGATTAGTTAATTTTGTAGAAGACTATTTTGCAACCTCTTATTGAGCCCATTCTTATTTCACTAAGCAAAATAGTTAGTTAAGTTCATTTCAACAAACCTGAAACTTTTGCTCCGTGGAATCCTTCTCTGCTTAGCGAATTGATCAATTAGATTTTTTGTCCAATATTCTTGTAGAGTAAAAATACTTGTTAATCAAAACTTTATTTTTTCTTAATTTATTAATTTTGCATCAATGTATAAATATTTAGTAAAATATACAATTTAATGATAACATAATTGATCATATGTTGTAATTAAGATTAAAAATTCCATTTAGATAAAATTTACTCAATTATTCAAGCATTTTAGGATAAGTGTTTTTCTCAAATCACATCTCAATCATTAAAATTAATCATATACTTGACAAATTTCTAATTAAATAAATTGTAGCATATACAAATTAAAGATAAATAAATATTTAAATAAATTATAATAAAGTTAAGGTCAATCTTTAAATTTATCTTGAATTTCCATCGGTTGATCTACTTATTTGTTATTAGAAAAAACATATTTTATATAATTTTTCTATTTTTTTCAATAAAACAAATTTCCTATAATGACTTAACAAAACTTTGTAGCATTGAGCATACATATTAACATGTAACTTGTATAATATATCCTTCTAATTATTTAAAGTCATTCCCCATTTTAAAACTTTTAAAAAATCATCAAAGCTCAAATAAATATGATTTTTTTACTTTCTGGCTTGTAATGTGACTTTTAATAAAAAAAGAATGAAAATTTTATGCAACAAGTTGTTAAACAAAAAATGAAAATTTTATGAAAAAGTGGTTAAACAAAGTTACTAACTATAAGGTTAGTTTATATAAAATGTTAAACAAAGTAAATAACTATAAGGTTAGTTAATAACAAAGTTAAACAAAAAGTGTTATATAATTTAAAATAATATAATCTCATGATATATAAAATATATTTGTCAACTTCTTTAACATATATCATTTATTTTGTATTATAAAGATTTAAATTAAATTTGTAATAACTAATTAAGATAAATAGATTCAATTTTAATCATTACTCAATTTATTATATCATTTCAATCTCAGGTCTAAAATCTATTTACAATATCATCAAATATTCATAAATAAATATTATTATTTAAAAATAATTAAATAATATAAATATAAATTAATAATCAGGGACCAGTTCATTACTAGAGATAAAATAAATAAGATGAGTGTGTAACTAGAGATAAATAAAACATGATCGGTGCAAAACTGAAACACATAAATAAATAAATATAAAACAAAACTAATACATAAATATAAAATAGGACTAGTACGTAATTAGAAATAAATAAATAAAAAATAGAAACTGGAGATAAATAAATATATATGATGACTAGTGCATAACTCGAAGTAAATAAAATATAAAAGAAAAAATAGAATAAGGTTAGAGACACCTCGCTCTATAACCGTAAATAAAAATAAAAAAAATAATAATGATAAATGTCTCATTCTCCTACCTTAAAAGTTATATATGATATACCAAAATTATACAAAATTGGCTTATATTTTCTTTCCCTTTCTCCTTTTCTCCCCTCTCTTTTTCTCTCTCCCTCTCTCTCTCTTTCTCCCCTTCAATTTTATCTCCCTATGTAAACCCTCCTCCTCCTATTTACAGTCTTCATTTAATGTTTTGGATGGTTATTTTTTTTCCTATCATTAATTAAAAATTATCTCTTAACATGATGAGATAAGTTTCTTATCTTCATCCATTTTTTTATTAATTATATATATATATATATATATACACGAATAATTTAAATAAATTTTTTCATTTATTTTTAATGATAATTTAACAATATATATATATATATATATATATATATATTTAAATTATCTAAGATTATTATAATTTAGTATATTGTATTTAACAAATTTTATATGATAAATTTTGAAGTGTTACATTTTTTCTATACTTACATAAATTTTGTTCTCAATACTTTTATTGACTAAAACAGATAAGGGTAATTTTATATGATTTTCTTTTCCAATTCCCATGTAGCATTTCCAGTTATTTTTTCCGAACAACCCCGACTAGGGAAATTTATCTTTCCCTTAATTGTTTTATCTTGATATTTGTAATCTGTATATACATTATTTCAAATGTAAGGTTATCCTTTAATTCTAATGTATTCGACATAATTACATGTGAATGATTAAAAATATATTTTCTTAATTGAGAAACATGAAAAACATTATGAAGATTAGAAAAAAAAAAGAGGTAAGGTAATTTGGTAAGCAACATGGTATTTTTCTTTGAAGAGTCAGTTTCTTTGCTTTCATCACTCTACCATCCAATTGTTAGTATTACTTTCAAGAATACATTATCACCTTCTTGAAATTCAATGGGTCGCTTTTCGTGTCAGCATAACTTTTCTGTCAACTTTGAGTTGTTTTTAATTTTTCCTGAATCATCTTAATTTTCTCTGTTTTTTATTAAATCATGTTAGGACCTAAGATTAAATTTTCTCCAATTTCAAATCAACATGAAGGTGTTCCACACTTTCTCTCGCACAATGTCTCATAGGGTGCAATACCTATGCTAGAATAAAAACTGTTATTGTAAGTGAATTCAAGTAATGATAACTACTGATCCCAACTACCAGAATCCTCTAGTACACATGCTCTTAACAAATTTTTCAAAGATTGGATTGTTCTTTCTGATTATCCATCAGTTTGAGGATGATAAACCAAGCTAAGATGAAACTTAGTCCCTGAGGCTTGATGTAAGCTTCCTTAGAATTTAGAAGCAAACCTAGGATCCTTATCAGAAATAATAATAGATGGAACTCCATGTAACCTCACAATTTCTCTTATTTACAATTCATTTAGTTTCTCCATATGGAATCAAATTTTTGAACTGTTCGTGGCAAACCAATTATAAAATTCATCGATATACTATCTCATTTCTACTTAGGTATGTATAAATATTGTAACATTCATGTAGGTTTTTGATATTCTATCTTAGCTTTCTGAAAAACTAAGCACGATGCTACATATTGTGTCACTTCCTTCTTCATTTTAGGTTACCAAAACATTTTTTTCTTAAGATCTTGATACATTTTTGTTGTGTCTGGATATATGCTCAATTTGTTCTTATGTGTTTCATCTAAAATCAACTTCCTAATCTCTACATTATTAGGCACACATACCCTACCATTAAATCTCAAAATTCCTACCCTATCTATGCCAAAATTTTCTCCATTATTTTGTTTTATCAACTTCTTTTTTCTTCTG